CCAGCCCTGGTCTCAGTTCCAGCCACTGCATCTCTCTCCTGGACAGCTGCTGTGGCCTCCTGCCTGGTCTCCCCGCCTCCAGAACCTTCTCAGCCAGCCTCTCATCCAAAACCCAAATTTGACAAGACGCTTCCCACGTGACTCTGATAGACAGAACCCCCAGCCCTCCCCACGATGGACATACAGTGTGAACAAAAACCTAAGTGTGTGTTAAGCGGGTGCAATTGTGGGGTTACCACAGCACTCCCTAGTCTATCCTGCCTGGTAGTCTGACGCGATCCCTTGTAATTTTGTGATTTCTCCAGGAAAACCGTATTTGCCTCTAGTCCAGTGCTTCCTTACAATAAACAATTCTCTGTGGATTTGAGGCAAGTTTGTATTAAATTGCAAACCCTAAGGACAGGAACAGACGTATCTGTCGTGCTCCCACCCCACCAAGAGTGAGGCTGTGCACATAGTAGGTGCCTCCTCAGCATTGGCTGGAGAAACTGAAGTGAGGATGAGAAGCGCAGGAGAAAGAAGAAAGGGATGAAGACCTTGTGCACTCTGACCCCCAAGAACTCCGTGTTAGACCCCATCCCGAGAGGCTAGACTCTGCGCAATCACTGGCCCAGGTCCCCCATCTTTGCCTGAAACGCCCTCCGCTCAGCCTCGGCAAACACTCCCCACTCTTCAGGATCCAGGTTCAGGCTAGCTTCTTGGCAGAGCTTCCCCGGCTCCCTGGCCCTGAGAACCAGCCTCTCCTCAGGCCACAGTCTGCCCTGGGAGCCCCTGAGCTGGGCTGAGGGGCCCCCGGGGTGGGCAAGTCCTGCTTTTGCTGGCCAGGACTGGCTTTCCTCCTTGCAACACACGTTGCAGCTGCCTCAGGGCCCAAGATCACCTGCACTCATTCCCTTCCAGAGGGCACAAGCCTCCATGGCGCCCCCTCCCCCCAGCTCGGAAGCCCTATAATTAGTGCAATCATTACACAGCTGCCTTGTGGTCTCTGTCCCCCCTGCTCACCTCTCTACAGCAGCAGGGGGATTTTTCCCCCCACATCATTTGCCTGTCACCCTACTGGGGCTCCCACTGGCTGCAGGCGGCAAGGTCCGCATCCTCAGCCTGGCACTGGAGAATCTTCATGCTTGAACTCTGTGGCTCACTGCCCACTCACCTGCTCACACACTGGATTCCAGCAATGTTCAACCTCTCGTAGTTCCCCAAACCCTCCATACAATCTTGTGATGTGTGGACTTTTGCTCAAACGGTTCTTCCCACCCGGAATGTTTTGACTTTCCCAATCCAGCCGGCAAACTCTTTTTTATTTATTTATTTATTTATTTATTTTATTTTTTTATTTTTTTAAAGATTTTATTTATTTATCTGACAGATAGACAGCGAGAGAGGAAACACAAGCAGGAGGAGTGGGAGAGGGAGAAGCAGGCTTCCCGCCAAGCAGGGAGCCCGATGCGGGGCTCGAGCCCGATGCGGGGCTCGATCCCATGACCCTGGGATCATGACCTGAGCCGAAGGCAGACGCTTAACGACTGAGCCACCCAGGCGCCCCCAGCCGGCAAACTCTTATTCAACCTTTGAAACTGAACTTATGAACAGGGGTTGGTACATTTTTTTTTTTTCTCTAAAGGGCCAGATAGAAATGTTTCAGGCATTGTGGGCCATGCGGTTTCTGTAGCAATTCCTCAATCCTGCCATTGTAGACAGCATAGGCATGTGAACGAATGATGTGGCTGTGTTCCAAGAAAAGTTGGTTTACAGGAATAGGTGGCGGGGGGTTAGAGTGCCCACCCCTGCTCAAGAGTCATCTCGCCAAGCTTCCCACAGACAGAGTTTTATCATGACACAAAACCCAACTGTAATGATCGCACAGTTGTGATGATTAGATGGGATGATGGGTCATACGAGCATCTCTCACCCTGGTATCTATAATAGCCTCCTCACTGGCCTCCCAGCCTCTGCCTCGCCTTTACAGTCTATTCTTAATTGCACAGATATGATCTGTTAACATGTAAATCCAATCAGGTCACTCTGCTCAAAAACCTCCTATGGCTCCCCATTTCCCTCAGAATAAAAGCCAAAGTTTTAAAATGATCTACAGTGTGCGTCAGGCCCTGATATCCCTTTGACCTCTTCGCCTACCCGGCTCCTGCTCTCTCATACTATTCCAGGAGCCACAGCCTCCTTGCTTGTCCTGACACAGGCCATGGAGACTCCTGCCTCAGGGTCTTTGTTCATACCATTCCTTCCATCAGGAACACTCTTTCCCAGGCTCACTCCCTGGCGCCCCCAGGCCCTTATTTAAATATCTCCCTTCTCAGTGAGGTCTTCCAGGGCCACTCTGTTTAAAACTGCACCCCGCCTCCTACATTCCCCCTCGCTTTTATTCCACAGTGTTTATCACCCTCTACCATACTGTACTTTCCCCCCAACTTTTTAATTATAAAAATGTTCAAATACACAAAACATAGAAGGACTAGTGCAATGGCACTCATACATATAACCCCAGATTCCACACTCAAGGTTTTTTGAAAGAAAGATGCTAACATCATGACACTTCACCCGAAGATTTTAGCAAAACACACTCTATGTTTCACTTGATCTTGTTTATCATCTGTCTTTCCCCCACAAGACTGCAAACACCAGGAGGGCAGGGATTTTTGTCTGTTTTGTTCACTGTGGTTTTCTCAGCACCAAGAACATTGCTTGGCACATAGTGAGTACTTCTATGGAGCAGGGAAAGAAAAGACAAGGCAGGTCCCGATTCTGATTCTGCCTTTTATTTATTTATTTATTATTTTAAAAGATTTTATTTATTTATTTGAGAGAGAGAGAGAGAGCTCGCGCCAGAGGGGGGAGGGGCAGAGGAAGAAGGAGAAGCAGAATCCCTGCTAAGCAGGGAGCCTGACACACGACACACGGGGCTCAATCCCAGGACCCCAGGACCACGCCTTGAGCTGAAGGCTGACACTTAACTGACTGAGCCACCCAGGTGCCCCTGGTTCTGCCTGTTATTGACACGTGACTCAGGAGATCATTTCCCATTGCAGAACCTGTAGGTTTCTTCAACGATAAAGTGGGGGCAAGAGTACTACTTCTCAGCACTGCGGTGAGGATCCAACAAGGTAAGAGTGTAAGCTGCACCATTAGCATGTCAGCTAGTTAAATTTTTTTTTTTTTTAAGATTTATTTATTTGAGAGAGAAAGAGCGTGTGTGCTCGTTGAGTGTGCCAGAGGGGGAGGGGCAGAGGGAGAGGTAGAGAGAGGATCTGAAGCAGACTCCCAGCCGGTTGAGCACAGGGCCAATGTGGGGCTGCATCTCACGACCCTGAGATCATGACCTGACTCAAAACCAAGAGTCAGACACTTAACCAACTGAGCCACCCAGGCGCCCCAGTTAGTTAAATTTCTATCCAACTCTGAGGGAGGGGACTTGGTCTAGTCTGACTCTCCGGATTCTGGGCTCCTAGAAAGCAGACATTTTGCTCTGAGATGTTTGTAGCTGCAAGCCCCTCTGAGATGTTTCTGGCACAGCCCCTCAAGAGCAACTCTTTGACTTGAAGGGCTCCAATGCAAAAATCCAACAGAAAGCCAACCGAGTGCATCCCATCATGCTTATTTGCCTCCTCCCTTCCCATTGCTTGCTCATTCAATGCTTCCTAATACTGCCCTGTACCTCATCTCTTGCTTTATCCACTCATTTCACAGTTTTCACCAGAAATACCTAGGGGAGGGACACTCAACTTCATGAGGCCCTGAGATTAAATCTCTTTCGTGGATCTTTGAGGGCTTTTTACAGTTGATCCAGCCTCCCTCAGCCTTTGCTGCATTTCAGATTCAGTTGTGTGTCTGTATTGCCAAACTTGTCTTGCAGACCCACCGTGAATACCAGGGTGTTTGCTGAAGAATGGGACTCAGCCCGCTGAACCTACGTGTTTTCTTGGGTCAGATTACTTGGTAGAGGGTGGAATGCCTGGCCTTTTGCAAGCTCCCTGATAACCATCGTCCTAACTTCACTTGTTTGGGGTGTGGAGGGCAAAATATTTTCAGTAAAAAGTCTTGAGTCTTCACCCAGTTCTCTCAACTCAAAGCTCAAACTCTTGAGCAAAATTCAAACCTTAAAGGAACAGTTTCCTCACCTGTAAAGTGCAGACAAGAGCAGCTACACTTCAGAAATGATGAATGTGAAGTCAAACTACTTTGTAAGGGGTGAAGCTTTGTATGGGTGTTAGTTGATATGATCCGCTCAGCAGAAGCAAAGCCGTCCCTACAACCCACTCGCCCGTGTGCCTTTCGCACCATTACTAATCATAACAACGACCATTTGTTGAAATCCCACTATGTGCAGCTACGGAGATGAATTTATCTCTAGGTCACAACATCCTTATTAAGGATGAGGAGTTCGCAGAGACCAAGTCATTTGCCCACGTTTCTGCTAAAAGTGCTAAGATACTTCCTGAGATCAGGTTGGTGTAGGCCTGCCAGATAACAACGCATACTTTCTTAGCACAACCATACTTAGTGTTTCTTATTTAAACTAAGAAAATATTGGTCGTTGAGCCAAAATTCAAATTTAACTGGGCGTCCCATATTCTTATTTGCTCGATGTGGGGGTCCCCAGCAAAAATCAAAGCAGGTTCCTCCCTGCCACGCCCTGTGTCTCTGCTGGTTTCACTTTTATCTTTCGAGCCGTCATTAACAGTAGGTTCTGGCTCCAGGCCTCCAGACCATTTCAGGAGGTGGAAGGCGGAGGAAGAGACTCCCGCCCCTCATCAACATGTCCGCCAACGAGCCGGCACGCGGACCTTCCGCCCCGCACAGACGTGGCCGCGCCCCGCCGCGGAGGATTGGCTCCAGCCTGAAGCCCGGCCTCCCTCGGCTCTGGGAGCCCCTTCCATTGGGCAGTTAGGAAACATGGCGGAGCTCCGCCCCCGCCTTCCTCGCACCGCCCCCGCTCGCGGCGCGGGGGCGGGGCCCCAGCGGCGGCCGGAGGACGGGCTTCAGTGATTGGCGGAGGGCGGTGGCCGGGCCGTCACGTGGGGCCGGGATCCTTTGTTTGCGGAAGTAGAAGGAAGTAGAAGTGCTGAGTAAGCCGAGGTGAGTGACGGCGCAGGGGAGGCGGGGCCTGGGGGGGGCCCTTCTCCAAACCTCCTCGGCGCCCCAGATCGGTGGTCGCCACCCCCACCCTCCTTCAGACCTCCCTTGTGTTCCCCGCTTGTTAGTCGTGTCCTCCATTGACCCTTGTGTGACCTGAGTGCCCGCAGCTTCCGCCCTTTGATCCCTCAGCGCCCCCAACTTCCACCTGTGACAGCTCTTGTCTCATTTCGAACTTGTGACCTAACCAGGGAGGCCAGCTTCGGCCCTGGGTCCCTCCTTAGTACCCGTCTCCCTTGTGTGTCTCCCGCCTATCACTGACTTCCTTGGTCATCCCATCCCCGTCTCCCTCCCAACTCTCAGGGCCCCCAGTTTTCACTCTGGGACGCATTGATTGTCCCATTGCCTTCCTGTGCCCTTCTAAGCGCTCCCGACTTTTCTGCCTCTGTATTCCCACCTGATCCCCCACATCCCCTGTTTTCTGCAGTTCTCCGTTTGTGTCTCCCCTCTTGTCCATTTTACTCTCCCCCCCCTTTCTGACTCCCATCTACCGGCTTCTCTCTGCTTATTGTCTCTCATTTGCCTCCAGATTTCATCTCTGCCGGCGCCCCACCATGCTCCCTCCTTCCCCATAGCCTCCTCACCCCAGTGTCTCCCAACCCACCAACTCTGTGTCCACCTCCTGCTTCCAGAGATGGCCTGCAAGCTGGTGATCTGGAAGGCGTGACCTATTTGACCATGCCACTGGAATGGGCAGGTCCGTGGGTGTGGGACAAGGAAGGCTCAGGGATCTGTGCCCATTTTTTTTTAATGGACTATTCATGTGACCCCAAACAAATACCTTCCCTTCCCCTGAGCTTCTGGGTCTTTGCTTCACCTGCCCTTTTACGCACCCAACAGGATGTTAGGCAGGTTTGGTTTGGCAACACAGGAGCCCCACCCGTGGGCTGAATGCAGTGTTTTTGTTATTGTCTCTGCCTTAAAATGTACCTGGAGTTTGGAGGCTGTTTTCGGTCCCAAGCTGCAGTTTCTTTGTGACACAGGGATTATATTTCCTGCCCTTGTAAGGCTGCTGTGAGGTTGAAAATTTGAGAAAATGTAGAAGACAAAGCAATGGTTTGGCTATTGCGTCACAGCCAGGAAAGGGAAAGGGATAAAATGACAAAAGAAGGGGGCACCTGGGTGGCTCAGTTGGTTAAGCGACTGCCTTCGGCTCAGGTCATGATCCTGGAGTCCCGGGATCGAGTCCCGCATCGGGCTCCC